GCAAATTAGAATCGAATGTTAACGGACACTAGAAATAGGTATAGTTATCTTCTTCTCTTTAATTTGTAGGTACGTGTTCTTCATAGTCCTCCTCACCAAGACTCTTGGACGGCACCGAGGTCTTTCGCTCGTACTTTCATGGCACTATTACGTCACTACACCGGCAAAACCGATGCTACCATACAAGTCACTGATGACCCGTTAGGCTTGGATCTCGCACGGGTAAGATTGTAACATAGTTAGAAAAACATTAGCTATCAAAACTATAAAAGGTTAACCTACATTTGCTTCATATGAGATGCTAAAATAGTAGTAAAATTATTTGACAAATTAGCTAACGATATCGAAATTGTCGAACATGGTTTGTTATTTTTGTAACTGATTTTTTTGGCGTAAAACATTACATGATTATTTGAATTTAAACAGTGGTTGACGTACGCTGGGCAGGGCCCACTGCTGGAGCAATTTCTACTTACTCTCACCATCTTGCACATCACCTATATTCCTTCAAAGGAGCATGGATTGATCCGACATATGCAGGTAAAAGCAATAGGCTTTCTTTAAGACTCGATTTAGTAGGTCTGAACTTATATACAACGATACTTACTCAATAGCTAATTACATTTTAAATAATTCCAATAGCTTTTTGAAACTTGCAGAATTAAAAATCTTTGATTTTAAACCTAAATTGTTTTTCTCTTACATGAGGCAAGCTGTTTTAGATTTAGTTGAATCTTTTAAAAGTACTTATTACTTTGGCATTATTATTATATTTGGCAGTGCCACGCTATGAACTTCTCACCGGTACGTTACTGGTTCACCATGTTCGTATGCGACCTGGTGCTCTACAGCATCCTCGTATGCTTCATGACATCACTGACCATCGCTGTCATATACCTTGTCACACCGCCTACGTACTTCCACATTGATGATTTGGGTAAGCGAGTACAAAGTACCGTAAAGTAATTTAAAGTAGACGCCGACTGTCTTTTGTATTTTACGACGGAGAAAATCTTAATAAATATTATTTTGCCTTTTCAGTTACATCGTACTCAATAAGCACTAATTCTCATCCGTGTTTTAATTTCAGCCATACTCCCACTATTGATAATTGTGTATGGAATGGGCAGCATACCACAAGCCTACCTCTTCAGCTTGGGCCCTCAAGCCGCACTCAACTCTATGATTTTTATAATTGTCAACATTATGTTAGGTTAGTTAATTCATATGTTAACCACGCTTACATATAAAGATACACCACGAAGGAGGTCGAAGCGGAATATTAAAAAAAAGTATTAGTAAAATATATGTGTTCTTTCAGACTATGCTCTACATCTATGCCAAATTTCATCGAGATCCGATCAGCCGTTCTAGAGATATCTTCAAACAAACATCCATGCATCTAAACATTCGCATTTAATAATATTATATATTTAAATGTCATGATCTAATCGTAAAATGTCTTTAGTTACATATATCACCAGGGGCCAACATATTGTGAAATGATGTAGAAAGATAACTCAAGAATGCTAGCTCAAACAATAGTCAAAAAACAACTTGACTTAATTAAAAGCCAATGATACATTTTCTAACAGGAGAAACTGCCATCATAACCAAAATTCAATTTGGCGATGCGTGGAGTTACATTTTACAATTTTCGAGTTTTTCGCCTCAATTCAACTTGGCGCATGCATATGCTAAAATAAAAAGAAATTTCCTTTACAATATGGAGTGCGGTATATTTAAATCAAAAAATCTTTGTTCAATGGAAACATTACACAAGTGTTGCGGTAAATATAAAATCTATTATTTATTAAAATTAATTACTTACTTGCCGATATTTCCCTGCCGAAACACACATCATGATAACTGTCTCAGTTTATTTCATGTAAAATGAAAGAGATGACACTATGTTCTTACACCAATATTTCGGCAGTGGCAGTTATTATAATTTTTTCCATATACATGATGTAGAGAAATGCGGTGTCCTTCAACAATGCTTCAAACGACGATGTTATCTCTTCGACCAAGAGAATGGAATCCTTATAGAGCTGGTGGCAATATTGACAACATGCTGTATATTTATGACCATCTTGTTGTTATGGGAGTACAGGGTGATACAACATCTATGGATGTTAGTTGTTAAGATGACGTGTTATGTCAAATATGCGTCAGATCAACTGGCGTTTGGAGTGCAGAGGGAAAAGGAGGAAGCCGTTGAGAAAGAAAAAATTCTTAAAACAGATAAGAGTTAGTTTATGCAGTTTTTAATACATACCGTGTACTGGGGGCATTAATTATCATAATCAGCTCACTATACGTCCCCACTGGGAGGTTCGAAGCCTATCCTTAGTGATTAATAATGGGGCTGCAATGTACTTTTAAATTACTCTACTATGTTTGATTGAGATATAAATATACATATGAGACTGTGTGTTTGACTCTATAATACCTAACTAAAACAGTTTTGAATTATCATCCATTCCTATGAATGTATTTAACATTATAGTTATATTATTTAACAGAATTGAGGGTTAAAACATTTGGCGAGTATTTACTCGCAGTGGATGTGGCAAAGAAGCATATTGGTGAATGTATAGTCCGTCACCTGTACCTGGGCCTGGAGAAGGGGGAAGTAAAGGCCGTGTCGGGTCTGGTGCTGCACGGCAGGAGGAACCTCTGCGAGATACTGGCAGGATACAAAATGCCCACTGATGGCAAGCTCTGGGCAATGTCCACCTGGGAAGTACACAGGCATCCACATAAGGTACCTACATATTTTAAATCTGCTAACAACTAATACAATTTTGTAGTAGAAATTGTACTACAAGTTGTACTTCAATGAGTTTATATTCACAGTACGCCAGGAACGTTGCACTCTGTTCAAACCGCAATCCCTTGCCGCCATGGATGACAGTGTTTGAAGCCCTGAAGCTACTCGCAACACTGCGCGGCGTTCCCATCAAACACGTCAAACATGAAGTGGAAAATTACATGGATTCTCTTGGTATGTTATACCATATCGATTCGTTCGTGTTAGTCATAATTCTTTTTCTATTTAAAAACAAGTTTTCACAGTGTGCTATTACAAACGTTTCTACGGCGCATCTTTCCACATGTAAGTACTGTGGAAATGTGCCTTAAGTTCTACGATAGATATTTCTGTATCATATTGCTTACAGATCTGCATGAAAAAGCAAACACGTATATTGGCGATTTACAACAAATGGAACGCACCAAAGTTCATTTCGCGGCAGCCGTGGTCGGCGCTCCACCCATACTAATTATGGATGAATTCACAGCAAATCAGAAGTATTCTGTCAGGAGAGCTATGTACTTTATATTGCGACAGTTGAAGAAAAGAGGGCATGCAATTATTACTGGTTCCAGTAGGTATGGAACAAATTTTATTACCTTTAATACTTGAGAACAGAATTAAACTACGCAACACGTATTCTTTAATAGGCTTTTGCACTATAAAAATCTAAGACTACCGAGATGTTTCTACACGTATTTATCGACATGACTGTTATTTATTATGTTAATTGTCTGCTACTCATTAGCGTGGAAGCTCACTTGCCAATGACGAACCGACTAGGCATCCTTCTGCATGGTTTAATCTACGACATAGACAATATAGATGTTTTGGTGGAACGATGCGGTAACAGTGGTTTTACAGTCGTACTGCACCTCAAAGATGAAGTCGACGTCAAGAGTATGCTCTACAGATATTTCGATATGTTTGTTATTAATGACATGTCCGAGGTCAGTATGCTACTGGTAAGCTTCATTGAAAATTTTACTAACGACTAAAATAATTATAAACTAGCCTCTGATGAGTCCACATAAATTACTATACTTAATTTATTTTTTTGGTTAAATTGTATTTATCCTCAATGCTCAAAAGTGACAACTGCCCGAAAATCATTTTCTTTTTAAATTGTTATTCCTAAATCACAACTAGAATATTATTTGATATTTTTACAATTCCAGGTTCTCGTAAATGTTCAGATACTAGATTCAGATCTCACGTGGATGACGATCTTCGAAAAGTTGGAGATGCTGGTAGCAGAAAACGCTACTGTATATACTTACATAGTAACAGCGATACCTATTGATTACATATACAACTGGATCTTAGCGCACGAAACGCGTCACGCCGTCAAAGAATATGAAGCATTTTCCTTCCTGAGGAAACGGTTCGAGCGCACGCCAAAGATAAAACCAACGCAAGAAACATTGAATAAGTTAATTCCATTCGAACAGAAATATAACATAACTCAATTGAAAGAGCTTCCATGGTCCGTCATATTCCAAAGATGATATTGCAAACGATTTAAAAATTAACACCAAGTGAACCACTGCACGTTGGTCCTGTATCTATAAAAGACGCACGCTAAATCAAAAGTAACATAACATGATAGGACTGTGTACTAGAGCCATTACTGTGGAGTTAAGATCATAACTCATTTACCCACCACTGAAAGTCAGCCGTCACTCCACGGCATAAGCGCGATGCAGCATCGATATCCCGCCGGTGGGTATATTAGCTATGACTTTCACCCAAGAGAAAAATTAACAATAGAAGTTTGCCAATCACCATATATGTGTGTTTAAAATAAGATAAATACATAGATGAAAACCCACCTGAAAGAGCTAACATCGCTCACCATAGGTACATATGAATGTGAGTAGGCTGATTGCATATGGCGTGAATATGTACTTTCCTTGAAATGAAATTTTTACTGACCTCTTGATTTTATTATAAAAGGTTAGCAGAATTTGGTTGGTTAAGTTTTGCGTAAGCTTTTAGTTAATTTTAAGCCAATTTGATTTTGAAAGCGAAGAAAACAGAAGCAATAAATAATTGTTTATTTGATAAATAAAGTTATAGTTACACATGAATTTGTTTAATTTCTTATTGACTAGATATCATAATACTGATAAACATAAGACCACAGTAATTTAACCAATAATTCTTAAGCTTTAATACATAATACTAACAAATAGTTTGCTGTGAAATTAATATTATAGCTCAATAGCTCATTAGACCCACGCCGTGTCAAGGCATCCACATATTTACAACGAGAACACCTTCCCTTTTTGCAAGACACAAGCTGGAAATGTTAGAAAAATGTACGTTTTTTACTCGTTGTCCAAGCTTTAACGCCGTATTTAAGCCGCAGCAAATTGCTGCTTGGTGAGTGTAATGAGCAATGACCTTTTTTAAGCAATTTTGTATAAATGCTTTTAACATAATTGACTAGAAGCTTACCTTATATATTGTAGTTAATATGAGATCATGATATAAAGCCATGTTATATATAAGCTAGAAATGATAAATACATAGAGAAATATAATGAGATCGGCCAGGTGTTACATTATAATGTGCACATAAACACTTAATGGTAGACTTGAATGCAATTGTGCTTGAAAGGCAGTACTAGCAAATCTTAATACAGTTGAACCTGGATAAGCTATAGACCAAAGACAAGGCAATATTTTTCTCGCTTACTGAGGTCGACGGAAAATTCAATTATCTAGTTCTCGCTTATAGAGGTTTGACTGTACATAATTTTCACCAAAAAACCTTAGTAATACCCCCTTCAGATGCTTAGTTCTGACAGTTGAAATATTCATGACTTAAACAGTATTATCCCGAGATTTAACTATTTTATATAGAAACAAGTAATCTAGATTTTCGGTCTAAGAATGATAATTCACAGCTCCTTTCTCCACTATTTTTATGAGATTTGAGAGAGTTCCTGTGATCTTTTGTTCTTTCCAAAGTTATTTTAACTAATACTATGGAGAAATGTTGATTTCTATTTTCTAAAATGCTACCCAAAGCTACTACAAAATGTTATTTTTCAGTACCTTTCTATTTTAACCAATTTATGACTAAGAAGAATCTAATGTAATGTGGTGTGTGATCTTTGCAATTCATTGTTTGAACCTCTGGCATGTGCCATCATATTCTCTATCCTATTAGTGGTTTCACGAACCATAGAGAAATCAGACAAGTCCGGTAAGTCTAAAACTATATGGGCAGAGAGACGTTTGTAGACAGAACTGGTATCTTTTTTATTTCTCCTACTTTCCTCATACTTCAATTGTTGCTTAAGATAAATAGATTGCTTCAACATCTCTTGAATATTCTTAAAACTGTTTGCTGCCCCATCCATAGATTTGACGGCACTGAAATATAACAATAAAGTGTAGTAGAAAAAGTCTGAGTGGAATATAGAGTTATAGAAGTTAATTAAGTTATTTATTTAATGAGTATTCTCTTAATAATGGATATAGAATTATCCTTATGACAGTGAAGACATCAATAAAATCTTAATTAATAATAAAGTTATTTTCTCACCTCAATGCATATTCAACATCATAACATCTTCCTTGCAACTCATGCTGTAATTTAGTTACTTCAACTCTTCTTTCTACCATGGGAGGAAGAGCTTTCCTTACGTGTTCTTGGAGTCTATAGAGTGCCAACGATGGCTCATTTGCTACTATGTGCATGTTCTCAGAAATCCTTTCAGCAGCTGAAATTACACTCATAAAAATACGTTGTTTTGTTGCAAAACGGTAACTAAAATTCTTGTACTCTTACCTTTTCTAGCCTTGGTTTCTAGTTCGGAATCACCTTGGTAAACAAAAGCCATTTTATATATATATATGACGAAATATTGGTGTGGATTCAATAATTTTTTTGAATGTGATTTATATTTGCGTATATCTTTAAATCAAGAACAGTAAAAGTCAAAACAATTTATAATAATTTTTGAACAAAGCCAATTGTCAAGTCCGGTGTATGTCAATGTCAGATGTCAGCTGGCAGCTCAACCGACAGACTGTAGCCAATAGCTATTGTAAATCAGCTCTGAATCGGTTCAAATGTTCAGCTCACATTAACTCAAATTGTTGATCTGCGGTTCGACAAACAAATTAGCAACTCACAGCCCATTTCAGAAAATTATATGTGAATCGAAGAGCTGCTTGGCGATGAACAGTTTGCAGCTCTAAACGCAAATCATAACGCAAGTACAAATTGAGCTGAGCTGCGAGTCGGTTCATTGATCTGCCCTGTAGATGTTTGTCTTTTTCCGTCTATGGTACTAAGACAGCACTTCACTGGCACTTCACTATAAACAGCTGTTTGGTCTATGGCCTTCCGCTCATTTGTCAATTTGTCAAATTCAAAGATTTTATTTTACATTTTACATTACATTGAGTTGTCGTTTCGTTATCAAATAAACCTTATTAGCTGATAAGAGAAATGTTAGCTGGCGTTGTGATGCAACCGAGTTCCGGGCGATATAATTAAAGTTCATTTAAACTTTACACACAGACAAGGTATAGTCATCTTTTACTTCATTCGTTAATTATTTGTATCAGTTGTTAGTGCAATATTACATTGAAAATGGAGTTTGTATTAAAAATAGTAAGTATTTTATGAATCTTTCTACTTCTGAAGCAACTATTATTAACGTGAAACTTGACTCTGCATTTTGTTTTTCCGCAAACAAAAGATAATAGTTTTTTTTAATAGTAGATTGCCATAGATTGTAATTATGTATTTTCTATTTCAGGGAACACAACTGATGGGGAATACAATTGGAACTGTTTTGAATCCTATGTTTCCATTCAAAATGTTACTCCGTTCTTACTCACTTTGTATTCTAATTGTGGATGTGATGTGGGTGGTTGTTAACACTAACTATGCAATACTCCAAGCAGTGTATAGTTTCTTTAATCCTCCTCCATTAAAATCTTTACAGACTGAGACAGCACTGGTAAGCAAAAAACTTATTTCTTTTATTTGTAAAGTTCAGTAATAAACTATGTATACAACCCTGTATATGGTAGGAATTTTTGATATTGTGTGTATTGTCAATGCTGGAAACCGAAGGTGGTAAAAAATTTAAATTTTCAATAAATTTACATTCTTATGAAGTATGATGTAGCTGGTTAAATATTTTTATAACAATGTGCGTTATGACAAAACATGCATTGTTATCAATTGTTTAGGCTGAGCCTTGTGTTATAGATGTTAATTGTAAATGTAGATAGTTCAAATATAGATAGCCTATATAAATATCCTCAATAATGAGTAAACTTTTAATTTAAATTTGTTAATTAAAATTAATTAGCTTGATAGTAATAGTTGCAGGTAATTATTAAAACTAATATTCTATAATCATTTAATAAATAATATATGTTCTTATTTTTCAGATCATAGGATCAGGACGAGGAGTTGGTCGCCAAATTGCTATTCAATTATCTGAACTTGGGGCCGTGGTTCTTTGTGTAGATAAAAATGTAACTAATAATGAAGACACAGTAAAATTGATAAGGAGTAGAGGTGGAAAAGCTTATATTTATGAATGTGATATTATAAGAAAGGAAAATGTGATGAAAATGTCTGAACAAGTTAAGAAAGATGTTGGTTTTGTGAGCATGTTGTTTTATTGCTGTGGTATTCCAAGCCCACGGTCTCTGATGACTCAACCCTCGCAAGATATACATGAGACTTTGGACCTCACATTGACTTCATACTTCTGGGTAAGGGTTATAAGTAAAATTATGCTGAACATAATTAGTATCCTGGGGACCTTTCTTATAAGAATCTAAAAGTTAATTTGTTTTTAGCTCATAGAAAATTTCATGCCTGAAATGAAAGAAAGAAATCACGGACATATAGTGGCATTGACCTCTGTAGCGGGTCTGAGCTACATCAAGGATCAGATGCCTTTCAGTGTAGCGCAGTTCGCTGTGCAAGGACTTGCCGAGTCACTGATGGAACATTTGAGGATCAACAAGACTGATGGTGTATATGTCACACTGACACATATCTACCCTTTTATTGTAGACGAAAATTCAGATTTAAGATTAAGGTTAGTATACCAGTAAAATAAGAATTAAAATGGTTGGATGTGTGCTGTATTGGTTTAGGATGCAAAATGTTGGTTGCCAAAGAGTGTTTACATTACCAAGCATGAGAGTGATTGTGATGATTTTTTTTTACATTTTAGGATATCAAGTTATTTTGGAACAATAACGCCGGAAAAGGCGGCCAAGTCTATATTGGACAGTGTACGTCGTAATTACCTGGAAGCATCTGTTCCCAAACATCTTCTCTACCTTGGCCACATCCTAAGGATACTACCGAGGAAGGCAACAGTATTAATTAGAGACCTACTTGATACGGGAGTCGATTTTGCATAAGTTATTAACATAGCAACTTGACCAATTTGCATGTGATGTGTTAAAAGTATATTTTATAAAGACACACATTTGTCATTGTTCTTAATTTAACTTTTGGACTTCTAGATTTTGTACAGACTAAAAACTCTTAACGTCATTTCAACATAGCCCAATTGCAGTGTAAATATTTAATTATGTAGTTATGTTTGTACTTAATTTGTATGTAACATGTCATTATTCAGTATGTTTTAAACTATTATATATATTTTTTGTAATTCAAGAACTGATGCATGTAATAATTCTTAATTAAGAGGCTATTTTAAGACATTATTAATTTTTTATTTTTATGAATTTTAATTATACTGCTCATATACGTTCCTTATTATCTGTGATGACCGTAAATAAAGTTTATTTGTTCTAAAATATAATAATCTTTGATAGTTTTTTATTTGTGGGTAGTCCTAAAAGTTACTAGTTAATTTTAGTAAGATGAACGACAAGGTGTTTCAATACAAGTGATTATGTACTAGAAACTCATGGTAAAGAAATCTCTATTATAACTTTTGTCATTTCATAGAGACTTTTGTACAAAAAAATAATGTGTCGAAAACAATGCTTGTAAACAAACACAATGGTCAAACAATGGCTGTGAAATTATTATGTTTATAACAACTCAAACTTAGATAATTTGAAGACCTCGTTGAAAACGGGCACATTATTTTGTCTCAATACATATTATAATCTCAAGAAGGGGAGTTTCTTTGTATATTAACATTATCTGTTTTTTTTATTATAAAAACAAATATTTTTCAGCATTTTTCAACTGGTAATATTTGCTAGAATAGTAAATGCTCTTTAACGGCATACTTGTTCTTTGTCTGTCAAAGTGTCAAACATGTGTAAAATTTATTTAATTTCCGTTCCGGTGTGACCGTAGCGCCACCCTTGTGTTTTTCGTTTTGCAATTTGTTTCTATGTTTTGTAATAGAAAACAATTAAAAACATTTAGAAAATAGTTCGTGTTGTGAGTATTCTTATTTTGAGGTTTTTTAAAACTATTTCGGCTACTAAACAGTGTAAAAAATAAAGTGTTATATAGCCGTTTGGAGATTTTCATGTAAGTTACATTATATGACATATTTTAGCGCAGTATGATATAAACTGTGTAGATCGATAAAAGAAAATAAAAGTTTTATTTCTTATTTAAATAATTTAGAAGCAAGGTACATAAATATGCGAATAAATAAAGCAGAAAACTTGTGCAGAGACACCCTTTTTCCGTATAGAAGTCGGTGCTTTTACTAAGCTTTGTAAGCTTCCGTGACATACATTATATGCTTAATGCGAACTTTAAAATTATGTATAATAATATTTACAACTAAACAAAGGCGATAAGCTATTTAGTACACCACAAATTAACAGCTATTTCTTATAGTTGTCACATTATTGAGAAGCTATGTCAAATACACAAGAGACAAACTGAAGTTAGAAGTTTTCTTAAAATAAATACATGCTTTGAGCTCTATAAGAATAAATCATTAGGAAAATACTTCCTATTAATAATTTTTACAATTAATTAATGTTTTTTTGATAGGATATGCTTTTATTATTTACAGTGAGCAGTTATATTAATGCAAAATCTATGGTCTACACGATTTGATCTGCAATTAGTTGCATTTTAAAATAAAGTGCAAGCATTACACATTTTAAACTGAAATGCTTTGGTAATTATCTTTACATATTTACAGTAGTTAGCATAAATTAAACAAACATGATTATCAATTTTATTTTTTTATTTTCTTGCAAGCTTTTCAGAATAATTTCTACACCTGCCTCTATTCAGTTCTGTGCACAAGCAATAAACTTCAGACTTCCTCGCTAAGTGGCAGAAATATGTTGATTTAATTCCTCAATTGTCCATGTTATAAAATATTTTATTTATATGCAATTCAAATGTTAACATCAAATAAATATCAATAAAAAATTATGGATCAAACTATTTGTAATCATAGAAAAGTAAGTAATCAAGAAATTTCATGTACCTATGGAAAGTTGACGTTTTCAGGCATATTTATCGTTTTTTATATTCATTTTTTATATTTTATGGTCCATCTATCATGCCATTTATTTGTAATGAGATTGCTTTGAATTAATCACATAACTGCTGCATTTGCGGAACATAACAAATGTGTCTTGTTAAATTATGAAACATTTGTAGATCAATGTGTTAATCAATAACATAAAAATGTGTCTAAGTAACTTAGAAATGTTTAGTTATGATGAACTATTATTACATATGCTGGGAAATAAGATAAATGATATATGACAATCATTTAAAGTAATTATGTTTGATCTGCATTGTTGAGTGTTTGTGGTAATTTAATTTTCATCCAATAGTCATTAGGAAATGCTTTAATAATTTCAGCGAATATTTGGCGTTTTGGTCTCGGCTAACATCTTTCCTACGCGTTTATGATTAATTGCTCTTAATGATTCACACCATTAGCGGAGAGATTTTTTTAGAAATTTCCAAAGAACATGGCATGGAATTATGAAATATTTACGAATCTACAATTGGTATTCGTATTTAGTTTTTTAATGCGATTGCTGTTAAGCGGCGGTCCGTGTCGACATAATCAATACGAAATGTTTGGTAATGGAGATGCGTTGTTGTGGTTTTTGTACGCTTTGGAAACGATCTGGCATTGTTGAGCACAATCTTTTGAAAGTTCGTATTATAAAAGCGGTATTTTAATTTCGAATCGAGTGTACTTTGTCGTCGAAATATAACTTCAACTCTAATTATTGTGTCTATTAACTATTACTTT